TGATAATGATGGTGATGGTGGTGATGATGATGGTGAGAACAACGTGACAAGGGGCCTCTGTGGCGGGGCCAGGCCATGCGAATGTCAAAGGATTCCGCGGCCCGATCAGGCCCGTTAGATCTTGCCCACGGAAGGGCCGAAGCTGGTCTCGTCGCATTTTTGCTGAGCGCGGCGGCCCAGCGCCGCCGCGCGCGCGGCGGAGCTGGGGCCGCCTCGACCACCTCGTGCTCGCGAAACGCAGGCTGGGGCACCGCGCGCGCGGGCAGCGCCACTGGCCGCTCGCGGATGCGCTTGCGCTTCTCCGCGCATGCGCACGACGGCCAGCTGTCATTCCTGGGCGCACCGCGCAGGGGCGCGGCGGCGCGTTTCGCGCGCGACGGCCCAGCGCCGCCGCGCGCGCGCGGCGGCGCAGAGACCCCCCCCCCGCTGCATGTCACAGCAATCGACGGCACAGCGACGCCGCGCGAGCGACGGCGCAGAAGCTGGCCTCGTCGCAATTTGCCCACGCGCGACGGCGCAGCGCCGCCGCGCGCGCGGCGGCGCAAGGGCCGCCTCCATTGCGTTCCCCTGTGCACGACGGCACGGCGCCCCCTCGCGCGGCGTCGCAGAAACCGCGCGGCGTCGCAGAAACCGCCGGCGCAGAGGCCGCTCCCGTTGCATGCCTCCACGCACGTCGGCTCAGCGCTTCCGCGCGCGCGCGGCGGCGTGGAGGCGTTGGCCGAGCGGTTGCCTCGGCGTCAGCCGAACGGTTGTTGCGAACTTCGATTGCCAGGGCCTCCCCTGTCTCGGCGTCAGCCATGCGATTTGGGCGGCGCGCGCTGCGCTGCACTCCTATCTGGCGCAGTGCGCGAGCGGTTTTTTGCTCAGGATTATCGAAGGGCGCCTTGTGTTTCGGCGCCAGCCGAGCGATTTGCGTGACATCCACCCACCAGAGGGCCCCAGTGCAAGGGTCTAGTAGGCCCTGGATCGCTCGAAGCGCAAGGGTCTGGGAGGCTCTGGGTCGACCGAGGCTTCGATAGCTTGGGCAGTGCTGGACCGTCCGAAACCAGACGGGCGCAAACAACTCCAGGTCACGAAACCCATTGGCCTGGGAAGCTCTGAATAAAACCGTTCGGGCACCCACCGCGAGCGCGGGTGAGCGCACCCAAGCGCTGGCGGCGTGCGTGGGCGGAGGCGCCCGGGCACCCGCGGCGCGCGCAGGCACCCGCGCCCGAAGTGACGGCCCGAGTTGACCCCCCCGAGTTGGCCGCCAGAAAAAACCGACCAAAAGGGCCAGGCGAGTTGACCGGCCGAAGTGATCGGCCTAGTCGAACGGCCAAATTGATCGGCCGAGTTGATCGGCCAAATTGATCGGCCGAGTTGATGGGCCGAGTTGATCGGCCGAGTTGATCGGCCGAGTTGATGGGCCGAGTTGATCGGCCGAATTGATCGGCCCAGCTGATCGGCCAAATTGATCGGCCGAGTTGACCGCCCAACCGCGCGTTGACGAGTTGATCGGCCCAGTTGGTCGGCCAAGTTGATCGGCCGAGTTGATCGGCCGACGCGCGCTTTGATGAGTTGATCGGCCAGATTGACCGCCCAACCGCGCGTTCACCGCCCCGCCGCGCGTTGACCAACCGAGTTGGCCGCCCGGGTTGACCGCCCAGACGCGCGTTGACCGCCCCGCAGCGCCGTGACCGACCGAATTGACCGCCGAGGTTGACCGCCCAGCCGCGCGTTGACCGCCCGGCCGCGCGTTGGACCTCCGAATTGACCGCCCGAGTTGCCCGCCTAACCGCGCGCGGACCGACCTAGATCGGCCGCCCATAAGCCAATTAACCGCCCCAGGTTGACCGCGCAACCGCCTCCCTCGCACGGGGCCGCGAAGGCGAACGGCGGGCGAGACCCGGTCACGACGCGCTGGGAGACACCAGCGGCCTCAGAGGCACGTCCGATGGAAGGCCGCTCGCGCTGCGTTTTCCGCGCGCGGAGGTGCCTGGCCGTCGCGCGCGCGGGAAATCCAACGCGAGCGCCTTTCTTGCCGTCGCGCGCGGCGGCGCAGAGGCCCAATCTCGCTCGCGCGCGCCAGGCGGCGCCGCGCCGCCGCGGTAGTCGAGCGTGCGAATGTCAAGTGCTGTCTGGTAGGGATTCTCCATTCGCTGAGGGGGCTCGCCCGCCCCGCCGCGCGCTTTCCCGCGCGCCGCCCCTTCTCCCGAGGGTTCCCGGGCGACCGCGTTGACTCCCCGAGGCTCTCCAAGTCTCTCAAAACGACCCCGGGTGGCAATCGGCCGCCAAGATGGCCCCAGGTTCTTTCTTGGACGGGCAAAAATGGCTCCGAGACAAATCAGCGCGGCACCACGGAGGCCCAGCGCGGAACCGAGATGGTTCAGAGAAGCCCCCAATACGTCCCAGGACGGCCCACGAGGGCTCCAAAAGGACCCCGAAAGACGCTAGGTACGACACTCGCTGACGTTGATACGGCGCTTCGTTGATTTGGGGGCATAATCGCTTCCGGCTTCAATCAGCCCGAGACGGCCAACGAAGCCTCCCACGTTGCCCTGAGACGGCCCAAGACGCCGCGACAATGAGCCGAGAAACCTCCAGAACGCGGCACAGGACGGCCCCAAGAGAGCCCCAAGACAGCCTACGAAGACAGCCGAAGGGATCCAAGACGGCCCGGGGGGGCCTGTCGACCCCCGACGGACCCAGGCGCCCCCGCGACGCCCCGACGAAGGCCGCAAGATAGACCCAATGCGGCTCACGCGGAGCCCAGAGCAAACCAGGAAACCCGCAAGGGGCCCGCAAGATGGCCCCACAGGAACCGAAGACTGCCCTGATACGGCCCAATTGAACTCCATGGGGGCTCTTCAAGAAATCCATTGGGAGTGCGCACGTGTGACAGCCTAGTGTTTCTCCTTCGCATTATGGTCGCCGTCCTCGTCGCCACCATCGTCGTTTCCATCGCTCGAACAGTCGCCACCCAAAGTGCTGGACTGGCGCGGTGGAGGGACTTGCTTCTGGCAGCTGGGCGCAATGCGAAACGCACTCGGCAACGCGCACGCGGTGCTCTTTTCAGAAGACTCGCCCGCTTCCTTCGGCTGTGCAACGCGAGTCCCCGCGCAGACAGCGCGTGATATCGAAACCTCGCTGTTGAAGATGCGCGCTCGTGCGTTCGCGCGCTTCGCGCTGCGCGGTGCGACGCAATACTCGCGCAGACGAGCGCGCGCTCGCGTGCCCCGCGGCAACGAGGCCGTTGGCGCCGCGGGCCATAGAACGAGCCACGCGTCACGGGACCCACGGGGAAACGCGCTGTCGGCAAGCGATGGTGCACGCAGAATTCAGGAAATCAAGACCGCCCCCCCGTCGCAAATCTGAAGTCGATCTTCGTTGTTCTACCACGTGGGCCGAGGTCGCAGACAGGCAGCATCGCAAGACCGAGGCCGAAGACTAATACCGTAGCCGAAGACCAACTTGCATCGCAAGACACAACTGCAAAACCAAGGCCGAACACCGACGCCCTGGGGCACTGGTCGAAGCCGGCAGCCGCGCCTAGACCATCGGACAACCCACCCTGAAGATCAACGTATATGCAGTAGTAAAGAACAAACGACACTTCCAAGTGCACACCAACAGTACGAATCTGAAGCCACAGCTTAACCCAAACATAATTCAAAACAACAAATTGACCCCAAAAAACCTTCACACCAAAACGAAAACGGATTTCCGCTTTAATCGCTTTCCCTGCCACTTCTGGGGCCAATCCTACACACGACCCCGTTCTCTGACCCCCGGACAAACCCAACTTGGGATTTGCCTTAAAACAAAAAAATCGGAGGCACAAAACCGGGATGTGCCACATTTCTGCTTCTTGCTGCTTCTTGCTGCTTATTGTTCCTTGTTGACTACTTGCTGCTTGCTGTTCCTTGTTGATGGACTGCGCGAGGGGGGGAGGCCCAAAACGGGTATTGTTACCACGCCCAAATCGTATTGTCTGAATTGCTGGGGTAGGTACAAATTGTCACCCCTCACGCAGATCGGCGGGGTCAGGGTCCACAAGGGATTTGCCACATTTCTGAAATTCGGTGGCACCCCTCACGCAGATCGGCATGATCAGGGTCGAAAAAAGCACAAAGGATTTGCCACATTTCTGAAATTCGGTGGCACACCACACGCAGATCGGCAGGGTCAGGGTGCAAACACACAAGGGATTTGCCACATTTCTAAAATTCGGCGGCGCCCCTCACGCAGATCCGTAGGGTAAGGGTCGACAAAAAACAAACAGGTCCCGACACTGCTTCACGGCGAAGCCAAAGCCTCATGACTTCGCTCTTTCATGGCCCATTCTCCGAAAGAGGGGGCCGGCGGCATGGGGGGAAGCCCTTACGGATAACATCGGGTGAGGGTAAATCGAAAATCTCTGATATCCAGCGGCTCTGGAGAATGTCTCGGGCGCCGTGGCCTCCTCAGAGCGTGCCAGAGAGCTCTGGGAGCGTTCCGGAGCACTCTGGAACGGATTTCTCCTCGTGCTGGCCCCGCCCGATAAATGCCCCCTCGATGGTCTTCGCAGAAAAGCAATGCACACGCCTGATTCCGCTGCTCCGCGGACCTCTCCCAGGGTGCGTTCTGACCAGAACTTCAATCCAGTGGTGGCGACGAGGGCCTCCCAGAAGCCCAAAAAGCGGGGAAACGAGAGAGAAAGAGAGAATAGAAAAAGAAGAAACGGCATGACCATAAAATTCTGGCGCTCCGCGACGATTTCCTGGATTTGCGCTGGACCCCCCTGCCTGGCGCGCGGAGCCTTTTTCATGTCTCGCCCCATTCTCCAGGACCAACCTTTCATCCTGAATCGTTGTTTGACGATTTCAGGGCCTGGCAGGGGCCCCTAAGACCGGAAGCTACGACACACATCCGTCTTGATGTTTGTGAATGCGTTGGATCTCTGGGCCCTCGGTCCTCGGACCCGGAGGATCGAGGAGGAGGGCGTTGCGCTGGTGCGGTGTAGGCGCCCCCTCCCCGCGGTCCTGGGGCGATCGTCCTTCTTCTGGCGCGACGAGGAACGCCCTCCCCGCTCCTTTTCCTTCTCCTTCTCCTTCTTCGCCTTCTTGCCCCGGTCCTCCCGGGGTCCACACACCGGGATCCGATGCCAGGGCGCAGGGGATGCTGACGGCGGCGAGTGGGAGGAACAAGCGACCGAGGAGGAGGAGGAGGAGGAGGAGGAGGAGGAGGAGGAGGAGGAGGAGGAGGAGGAGGAGGAGGAGGAGGAGGGAGGAGGTCAGAGGGCGGAGGAAGAGGAAAACGAGAGGGGGGTGAGAAGGAGGGAGAAGGGAGGATGGAGAGAAGGACGCGGGGGGAAGGAGGAGGAGGCTGCAAGAAGAGGACCAGGAGGACGACAAGAAACGAAGGGACCATGAGCAGGAACAAGCGAGGATGCGGAGAGAGGATGACAAGGGGGGGGTCTTGACGTCCGCAAGCTCAAGAAGTCGTTTGAAATCGAGTGATTCGCGACCATGCCACAATGCTCCTCTCATTCCTCCATTCTTGGTTGGGATACGCATCTGAGCTTTGGTACATACCCATCTATCTATATGCATATACACATATCCGCCGATCCCCGTTTGCGGGGGGGAGAAGGCGTGTGAGATGATTGCCTGAACCCCCCTTCCCCCTTGCCCCTCCCCCAGGGGGTATCAAGGCTCCCGGGGTAAGTATCCAGGCTCCCTAGCGCAACCATGGAGGCTCCGGAGCTTTCAAATCTACCTTCCGTGACCTCAAAGATATTATACCACGGCCCCGAATCGCCGAACGGTTGGTCCAGAACGCCTCCGATGGCTCCAAGACGCCCCAAGACGCCGTCGAGAGGCCGCAAGAGAGGCCCAAGAGCCTTCCCAAGAGGGACCCGAGAGGCAAAACATGTTTGTCATTCTTAGGTTGATCAGTGTTTCTAGGGTTATCGCCTTCTCGAACTTCCAACGCTCCAGGACGGCTCAAGAGTGTTCCAAGACGGTCCAAGGCGGGGCCCAAGACGAGCAAAAATCGCCCCTAAACGGCCCTAAGAGATGCCAAGATGGAGAACACCAACCGAAAATCCCATCTGTCGGCCCCAAGAGGCCCCCCGGAGGCCCCCCAAAGCCCCCGAAGCAGCCCCAACGAGGTCACTCACAAGCCCCAAGATTGATTGATTTATTGATTGGGCAGCCGATGGCGGCAGCTGTGGCTCTGTGACCGATACCAGGGGCGCGCGGCAAAGGCGGCCATTGCTGGAAGACGCCCAAGCCGAGGAGCGAAGCAGAAGGGGGGGAGAAGCGAAGCCCCAAGAGGCCCCCCAAAGAGGCCCCTACGAGGTCCAAAGAGAGACCCCGCAGCGGGCCCCGAGACGTGTCGAAACCGCCTGACAAGAGGCAACGCCAGGCACTGAAGCCGCTCGCAAAGACGCCACGAGTCCCCCAAACTGCCCAAGAAACCCATGATGCCTCAACCGTTAAATCCTCGGCGGAACTGGCGTAAACCTCTGGAAACAAAACATACGTATGTACTGCATATGTATGTATACATGTGGATACGTAAACCTACATGTATATATATATATATGTGTATATATGTGTATATACATACATACATACGTGACGTGCTCGGTGACCCCAACATGTGACAAGAGCATGCGCTGCAGTATGTTCTGTGCTGTGAAGGGGCGCATCTCTCAATGGTTCAGCTGCATGCGCCCCCTGGCCACCAACATCAGTTCTGCGAGCCCGTGCCACATAGCAAACGTGGGTGCCTTCTTTCGCTAAAGCTAGATCGCGGTGGCCAAGGTGCGCCCCCTTCCGCAAACTTATGTATGAATGTTCTCTTCTGGATATCCGCCTCTTGACGTTTACACACCAGGACGGGTTAGATGTTTTTCGACGGTGCCATTTGCGATCCTTCCAAGAATGGTGTCCACGCTGCGAGCGCGTTCCCATTCCGGATCGGCACTTTGCTCCCGTCGTTTGGAATGGCACTCTCACCAAAACTCAAAGCACGTTTCTGAATCTAGGTCATTCTTCATGGTCGCCTCCCCGCTCAGTTCCCCTCCTCCGCATTCCCCTGGTTCTCCCCCCCCCTCCTTCGGTTCCTCCCACTCCTGGTCCTGATGGATCATCATCAACGTAATTCCTTCTCCTCTTCCGCCGGTTCACCTCCAGCCCACCTGCCACCACCTCTTGGGGGCTTCAAGCCCGGTATGTCCCCCGTCGGCAGACAGAGCCATACACGGCACAACGGGAGACATATGGGAACGATCGAATGTCCGACATGGCGCAAACGCATCTGGCTCATCCAGCCCCCATCGCCCGCCCTACCTGGGACACCTCGCCTCCTACCCCAATACTTTCCCAGGACATGGTTCCCGTCATCCACCCGACCACGATGACAACGACTGCGAGGGAGGAGCACGCTGTGGGGAGCAAATTGGCGATGAAAAGAAGCAGGAGCAGGATAATATCAATAAGAAAAGAAAACGGAGGGGGGAGAGGGACGATAAGGGAAAACAAAGCATAACAGAGCAGCACCAATGACCCGATGGAGGCAGGCGTTCGAGAACCATTTAAAAGGGGTCCGATAGTCGTCGGGGCCCTGCTGGCGGGTACCACTGGCAAAAGAGATGCCCCCCAGCTGGGGGCACCTCAGGGGCTCGCCTACGCACCACCTCACTCAACAGAGCCGAAGGCAAGCGACGAGTGGACCCACCCAAGCACAACCCCAATCCCGAGCCACGGCTCGCGCCCAAACGTCAGAGGGCGTCGACGACGCGACGACACGGCCGTCCCCCAAAGCGCTTTCGGTGAGACGCAGCTGTCGCGGGGCCTCAGAGAGGGCTCGAACCCGCCTGGAACCGAGGGAGCCCTGACTTGTGGGAGACATAGAAAATTCCAACTTCCACGGCCACATCCGAATGCGCGGGGATGGGGGCGGGGGTCCGAGCCTGGAGGGCGAGGAGGGGGCCGTCCTGGAGGTGTCTCTGGAGGTAAACCTAGGCAGCACGCTCACTGCCGCTGATCTTGGCGAGCCGCGCTCGATGCACGGGCCACCCGCTCAGCGCCCGCCGCCCACGGCCGCTGCCTCCTCCTCCTCCGCCGCCTGCTTGTAGCAAATGCCTGGACGCCTCTCTTTCCAGGCCGCCGCGCGGCGGTGACCCCGGCATGTGGGTGGTTTGCCGGTCTTTCGCCTTCGTGCCCGTTGTGATGATCGTTATCTGCGTGCCCTCCATCAGCGCGTGGCGAAAGCCTTCCCACTTGTTCGCCTGCTGGTGAAATCCCAACATGGCCCGAAACTTGTACCTGTTGGGCGTATGTAGCTCCTTCTTCTCGCACTTGCATGCCTTGATCCGGAAGTGGCGGCATTGGATCACCAGGGTGTCGAGCGCTGTCGGCGGCATGATGGCCTTCTTCCGATAGTCCTGGAACAGCTCTTTGACTCCGCCGGCGCGGCGCTGGCGCCGTCCGCGCAGGCCCGCTTGATAAATGCATCGAAGACGCGCGGCCGGGGGGTCCATGCTTGCGATATTCCCCGTCCGGTGTGTAGTTCTCTGCGCGCGCTCGCCCGACCTGCTGCAGTACCTTCGCAACGCGGCACCTCTGCGCCCTGCAAGTTGCACGCGAGGCAGGCGCAGGTCAGCTTGCTAAGCACCACTTGGGGCGCCGCCAAGGCGC